CGGTCGCGTGGAAATCGTGATTCCGCTAATGCGACGATTGATGGTCTCAATATATTTGATCGCGCGACATTTGACTTTTCGCGGAGACTCTCAGTTATTTTCAACGTTCCGGAACACTAGCGTACACGAAGGGACGCGATATACTCCCCATGAATTAGTCTTTGGGAAGATAGCCAAGTTGCCTTCCAACTACCCCGATGTCGCCGACGTTACGGACGAGAGTTACGCTAATTATCTGACAAACCTTTTAACAAACTGAGTGACGCCCAAGCCGTCGCCCGCGAAAACTTAGTAGCCGCTAAACAAAGGTCAAAGGTCTATTACGACCGCCGAGTTAACGCCCAACAGTTTCGAGCGGGAAACTACGTGTACTTATTAAAAGAACCAAATAAAGGCAATTAAGCAATCAATACACCGGTCCCTATAAAATCATTTGTCTCTTAGGTAATCGTAACGTTAAGTTAGCCATAAGTAGAAATAAGACAAAAATTGTACACGAAGACAAGCTAAAAGCTTCCCCACATCAAAACCCTATCGAGGAAGACCCCACTCCGGCGAGACGACTATATCTTGGATGCATCGGCGGAGGACCGGCCAGTAATTGACGAACCTCAGTAGAATGAAGATCTACGCAAGTATCCTTATAGCAGTCTCGCTGTTAACCATAACCTCTAACGGACTAATAGGTTATGACTGCGGAGGACATGGTCTAAACATTACTTCACTATCCCTCACGGATATCGGAGAATGTAACCTAGATAACATTGAAGCGGACAAAGAAGAAGTATATATACAACTGTTACAATTGAGCGAATTCGACCACACCATCGGACTCCAATGTAAAGTTGAAATCGATCGAACTATCTACTACTGTGGGATGCACTCACATGTATCCTTGGTGCACAATGGCAGGCGCGAATACATCCGCGAAGTATCGGCAGAAACCTGCAAAAATTATACAACACCGGAACTATATTCCTGGGAAACAACGGCCTCATCACGGACATCAAGGTGAATACCACCACCACCGTAGCTTGACCCTCGCAGGAACCACCAGAACCGACGGAACATGCTTCGGAACTCAGTTCAGCGACCCGTTTGGCACTTGGGATAACGTGGTCGTTCAAGCATCTATAAAATTACCACCCGAAGACTCGAGCTCCCCGTCAGACATAGCACCAATAAAGTAATATTACCCTCCGGTGCTCGATGTCCCGTAGCTGAAGGAGAATGCAACGACGCAGATGGCTCAACCACATATTGGACGGCGCTACCCAGCGATAACTGCCACTTCAATCGCTACGACGTTCTCTACCAAGGCCTAGCACACCGCCTCTCATCTAAGCCCACACAGAGGGAATCACCGACTATCTACACAGTCACCACGCAAGAAACCACCTTTGCTTTAGCACGAACCACGGAAATAAACGTGTGCGGCTACAGAATTTTAAGGACGGAACATCCCAAACTCTGCATACTCGAGACTCAACCTGGACATACGTTTAAGGGCCACTCCAGAGTCCCGATCGATAACCTCGATATATTTTCCTACATAAATTCCAAATTCATTTACGTGGAAAAACACTTGAAAACACAATTGACACAATTGTATCAAGACATAATGGAGCAAAAATGTGCTTTAGAGAGACAAATTCTACAAAACGCTTTCTCCCTCGCCAGCATCGCCCCGGACGAAATGGCGCATCGAATCATGAAGGCACCAGGCTACACCGCCATTACGGCAGGCGAAGTCCTCCATTTGATCAAATGCGTACCGGTGGAGTGCCGAGTACGGCAAGCTGAAAGATGCTACAACGAACTCCCCGTCACCCACCAAAACAAATCCCTCTTCCTGTTGCCAAGATCAAGGATACTTACCCAAACAGGAACACCCAGGGATTGCCACGAACTACTTCCAGCGATGTATCAAGTACACAACATCTGGTATCGTTTAACTTCAAAGCCAGTGGAATCAATGGCGCCGCCGATGATTCAACCACTAACCAAACCACAATGGAGATACGTCAGTCCAGATTCACTCGCCTCCAGCGGCATCTATACCAGCGAAGACCTTGATCGTCTTCGCGACCACATTATGTTTCCCATGAAGAAACCCTCTATGCTCAATACAATTGCTAGAGGAGCAATGGGACAAGAAGTCCCCGCGGAAAGCTTCTCTATGCTAAACCTGTTGGACGAGAAAACCCTCGACCAGCTAGCAGAAAATACGGGAGCCCGCTTGTGGAAAGGATTCGTAAGTTTCGGATCAGCAAGCGCTGGAGTCCTCGGAATATTCGTCATCGTTCGTGTCGCCAAACTAATTATCGATACACTGATACATGGCTACGCACTCCATTCCGTATATGGATGGAGTTTGCACCTCCTGGGAGCCGTTTGGACCTCAGTAACAAACGTTCTACTGCACCTCGGAAACCAGCGGACGAGAACCAGGACAACGGACGAGAGCTAACACCCCTAAATCCCCCTTCGACGACCGAAGTTTTTGCACCCCCGACAGAAAAAGTCCAAAGTGAAGTGCCTATAGACTACAAAGAACTGCGCAATCTCCTCAACGAAGGAGTATAGACTCAGTGATAGGTTAACAAAATTATACTTTGTAAATTCTACTACTAAGCTCGGAAAACGTTGGAACATGGTCCAACATTTTCTTTTAAGGGGGAGGTGTCACGTCCGGCTTCATTACTATGTCCGGGTAGGTAAATTTTTTTTTCTATCTATAAGGAATAAATCCTAAAACTATCAAACATCATTTGAAAAGCGCGCCAAAGCCGGCCATGACGCTTAACTCCGCCTAGAAATTAAGCGTGGCGCTTCGTAGCGCCTAAGGGTCTCCCACCACGGTGAGAGCCCCTACTCCGGAGAGTTCCCCCTCTCTAGGCCGCCGCAGGCCGAGCCGCCGAAACGATGGACCTCAGAGCAGTCCCGAATTTCGGCAGTTCTCTGCGCGACACCGAACAGTACAGTCGCACTTCTAAATTCCAAGTCCAAATTCTAAATCCTAACTCTAATTCTAAAATTCTAACCCTAAGTATTGTTACGTCCCGTTCGCAGTCGCGGCGTGTTATTCGCGAGTGTATGATTCGCGTTGCACGTGCTCGAACTATTGCGCGAGACAACGTCGTATTACGGAAATTTTTCCGGGGATACCCACGACGAAGGGTTTTCCGACAAAGTTGCACGATGCGGAAGGAGGGGGAAGAATGTATTACCCTTAAGGTAGCAATTACGACATGGAGCCTAACTATAATTCTACAGTTATGATTGTGGTTCCGTCTTCTATTCTCGCCGGGACGCTATCTGGGTTACGCGAGTAGTCTTCGTATATAGACTCGCAAAGTTCGCATAAAGCCGTTGTATGACTTGTCGCACAAAGACAAATTTGAGTGAAACGCTGAATGTGCACGAGCGTTTTAAATGGGTAAAAGACGAATTGGTTTCGCCAAAAGTATTAGTAAACTATAATCCAAATGAAAAAATAATATTGGTATGCAATGCATCAAATTATGGACTATCAGCGATCTTATCACATAAGTATAAAAATGGCGAAGAAAGACCAATTGCATTCGCATCAAAGAAAATACCGAAACATGAATTAAACAGGAAAATTATGGATAAAGAAGCAATGGCAATAATATTTGGTTTTCAGAGATTTTATCAATTTATCTTCGGAAAAACCATAATATTAAGAACAGATAACAAGGCGTTACAATGGATCTTGGGACCACGAAAGGGCATTCCACAAACAGCAGATAATAGATTACAGAGATGGGCTTATTACCTATCAGGTTTTAAATACGAAATTGAACATGTAAAGTCCGAAGCAAATGCAAATTGTGATGCGCTTTCGAGGTTACCAATCAAGGATAACACAAACATAATTGACACAAATTTCTCTTAGGTTAATTTTTTTGAAACCGGTGTAATAACGTACAACCATAAAACTCTCGAAAAAGAAAGCAAAAGAGATCCGTTAATCTCAACAGCGATTAAATATTTTGTAAGTAATTAGCCAAAAAATGACAAAACTATGTCGAATGATTTAAAAAGTATTTTTAATAAAAGATTAGAATTATCAGTAGAAAAAGGATGTCTGTTTTGGGGTTTACGAGCGGTGATACCAGAACGCATGAGAGAATTAATATTAAAAGAACTTCATGTACTCACTTAGGCATTGTTAAGATTAAGATGTTTGCTCGATCATACGTCTGGTGGCCAGGAATTGATAATGACATTGAAAAGCAAGTCAAAGAATGCGATATTTGTTTGATGAGAGAAAAAAACCACCTCACATTCCATTAACAACTTGGCCATACCCAGACAAAGCATGGTCGAGAATTCATTGTAATTTTGCAGAGTTATTCGGTAAAATGTACTTATTAGTAATAGACGCGCATTCAAAATGGCCAGAAATTATAAACTTTAATAATAACACAAAAGCGTACAGATTGATAGATGAATTTAAACTACTGTTCGCAAGATACGGTTTTCCGCTACACTGCGTTACTGATGGAGGCCCACAATTTAGAAGCGAAGAATTTCAAATCTTTTTGCGGGAAAACGGAGTAAAACACTCATTTAGCTCACCCTACCACCCTGCGACGAACGGAGCTGCGGAAAATATTGTACAAACATTCAAAGACAAAGTGAAAAAAATTGTAAAAGGGGGAGAAAGTGTAGGTAATGCGATTAATATGTTTCTTTTTGACTATAGAAGTATCGAGCACTGTACAACTGGTAGGAGTCCTGCCCAATTAATGTACAAGGGGGAATTACGAACGAGATTCGACTCACTACGCCCGGGACTAACTGAAATTGTTGATAAGCGGTAGCGTGCGCAAATCGTAGCAGGAGCAGGTAGTAGGAAACTCGATCTCCAACCAGGAGACAAGGTTGTTATCGATGACTTCAGCGTAAGATCAGATAAGCGTGTGGAAGCAGAAATTGTAAAGCAGACCTCACCGTCCACCTTCGCAGTCAAAGATAAAAATAACAACATGAGAAGGAGACACGCCGATCAAATTATCAAAAAGGATGCTGTTGGACCGCGACGCTCTCCTCGCCTGAACAGAAACAACATTTAAAGAGGCAGGAGAGTTGTAGTATATGCAAGTACACGTGAGCAAGGCGTGGAGTGTGTGTGAGCATGCGTGAGGAGACTGCGAGTGTGTGCCGCGAGGGCGAGCGCGTGGAGAAAGTGTAGTGTGTGTGCACGAACACATGGGCGCGAGCACATGGTACCCCGTGCAGCTTTTTACTTAACTAGTTTTGTTATACTTACTGCAAATGTGAAATAAATATATATAGCTAAATACATTATCGTGCTCCGTGATTTAGCCTAGTCTGAAGACATCACATAAACCAAGAAAGCTAAATAATTAGTTTTCTTATTGGTCTTTTACATTAGGTCAACCTAACCTAAACGATAAAAAAATTGTAATTATTTAGCATTCTTGTTTCTTTTTTATATACATATATGTACATAGTAGCCTAGATTCCTTATTATGAATACTTTAATTTTAATGAAGGATGTTTCATTCTGTATAGCCAATAAATAGTTAAATAAAGATAATATTTATCGATAAAATAGAGTCAGCATCCCCTTAAACATAAATGTCTGTTGTTTTTGGCTCTATTATACTTACAAGGCACACATACACATGACTCGTATTACAAACTATACATACATTATATCTATGTATATACATACATATATATATATACGAGTGATCAATTAGTGTTACAGACTTATATCTTAGAAACAAAGAATTTTAGAGAAAAATGTTTAGACAAAAGTTGTATGGTTTCAAGGAAAACATGAAATGGTGTCATTGATTTGACCTTGAATAGTCATTTGAAGGTTACGTAAAGGTCACCTTCAAATGACTATTCAAAGTCAAATTAATGACACCATCTCATGTTTTCCTTGAAACCATACAATTTTTGTCTAAAACATTTTTCTCTAAAATTCTTCGTTTCCAAGATATAAAAGTTTGTAACACTTTAATTGACTCACTTGTATATGTATATGTATGTATATACATATAATGTATGTATAGTCTATAATACGAGTCATGCGTATATGTGCCTTGTAAGTATAATAGAGCCTTAAATGGAATGGATTTCTTAAATAGAACCTTCTATTTTTTATTGCATATTCTTATAGCT